CAGTGAAATAGATTCAATATGAGTTATTGTCGTCATGTTTGCACAGTGCGGCACTATGAAGTGGTTTATCTAATACACGAGAATCACAAGGAAGAAGTTGAGCAAGTGAATACGAAAGTTCAAGGTGATCTTTGCTTTCCATATATCCTCGATTTTCACTTTTTATTTAATAGAACTTTCAGAAAGCTGGTATATGCCCTTGAATATTTTTTCCTCGAGCTCATCATCCAAAGATCAAAGAAGTTTTTGGAGGTTTCCTACCAGTTCTTGAAGTGAGAGTTTGTAAATAGTTGCTGTTCATAAATTTCTTGTCTTTTCATTATTCCTTGCTTTTGAACCTTCCAGCTCTTGTCATAATATAGACCCCTAAATATGATTTGCCATTCATTATCCTCTCTCTCTGGCTTTTTAAGGAGATGGTTCACGGTATAAAAGTTGGCAAGGATCTTGGGTTCAGAGTCTAGTGGCTACCCTCTTTATGAAATTTGTGCACATGTCAAGCATTTGACAAAGATAAATCTGTCTTGCATGTGAGATGACATGTTGAAAATTAAAAATATATAAACGTTTCTCATCTATAAGAGGAGAAGGTTTCACATGTACCCTCTAGACAACAGAGTTTCTTTACCAGACTTTGCGACTTTGTCAACACGTGGGGTCAAGGCCTTTTCCAATAATCAATTCTTGGAGTTTTTTATTCTTATCCTGTCCTAGTAGTTACAGCATTCGATGAGTTGGGTTGGGAAGAACACAAGTATTGATGCCTTGAAGCTGCTAAATATTATATATCCATCTTCATATCTAACTTATTTCCTTTTGTCCATGACACTTCTCTGTAGAATTTTTGGAGGAGAAGAAAGGCAAGATATGGAGATTCAGCGACTGGGGTATGCGTAGACTGGCATACAAAATACAAAAAGCGAAGAATGCTCACTATATCTTGATGAATTTCGAGTTGGAAGCCAAATGGATTAATGATTTCAAGAGCATGCTTGACAAAGATGAGAGAGTCATTAGACACCTCGTGATGAAGAAGGACAGAGCAGAAACAGAGGATTGCCCCCCTCCTCCAGAGTTTGGTACTTTACGTGCTGATATGAATGATGATGAAGATGATGATGAAGAGGACGAAGATGAAGATTGGGATGATGAGGGAGATGTAGATATTGTCTACGTAGATGATGATGTTGACGACGAAGAAACTAGTTCCGAGAGGGGAAAACAGAAAGCATATAGCGGGTTGAATTAGTTCCCTATTTTTCCAACTAGAAGGCTTGTAAAATAACAGTTTTTTGGTGGAAGAACTAGTTAAAAATGAGCATTTTCTTGTTTAAAAGGAAACACTTGCAATTACATGGCTTCTCTGTACAAAATTGAATTGGAATTTCATAGAAAATAAACCGTTATACATTGACAGACTGAAGTTGAGGCCAAAAAACACAGTTCGTGTCCCACTCCAGTAGCCGTCTCTGTTTACACTAGGCAATTGCAATCACATAAAGGAAAACGGTGCTATCTGTACCTCCCCCGACCGTCCAAGGGAATTCGTGCACAAGTTTATAAAAGACTGACACGTGTACAAATTTATAAAAGAATGGTAATGAGACTTGAACTATAAGTCTTTTGTCTATGGTGCAATGTTGAAAAACTAATAATTTGCCTGTAAAACTTTTAGATGATGTGTTTCAATAGAAATGTTTGATGATTAAGTTGAAATAGAGACTTTAAGATACCCGATCATTCGTTTCAGACTGAGCAACTTCATCCACGTAATCTCGCTCATTTAAAGAAGCCTTCTAAATTCTCATTTTACCAACTCGCTTTTTGGGTCAATTTTCGACTTATAATTCTTGAATGTTAGGAAATGTCTTTTACTTCGTTTCAAAATACACATGGTGTGCTTTCCAACAAATCTTTCGATTCGCAAAACTAACACGGGACCTTTATAGGTGCTGCGTTAATAACACCTGTATGATGCTTTTTTTTTTTTGTTTTGACAAAGATGAATTAAAATTTGTCAAGTGTTAATCTATAAAAATTCTGTAAAAGAATTTCTGTACACCTGGCATAACTCAAACTAATATATGACAAAATCACATTAATGAGTTAAAAATTTCTACTCACATAGATTCTCAAATTGAAGTCCTATCTTTCAACTCATTTTCAAGCAATGATCATTGATCGTCAAGATAGATCTTGGTACTGATTTGAAGTACTCGCAACGTACTTCAAAATGCCCTTTTCGAACTTAAAAAAATCAATCGATCAA